GCCGATGAAGGGTGTCGCAGGTGCGTGGGGGCACGTAAGCCCCGCCTCCCCCATCCCCGTTGATGATGCCATCTGCGCGCCTCCTTATTTCTGTTGCCTCCTCGATCCTTTTTTGAATTGATTTGCTTTCGGACGTGATGACTTGAGCCGACTTGTTTTTTGTTCCTTCAATACTGTGAATCGTTTGGCCAAGCAGGTTCCTTCTGCTTTTTTCTCCCTTCTCCACCGCACTTTGACCACCCACATCTGGTGACAAAACGAACATTTTTGGGCTTTTCCTTCATGAGCGGAGGGGCACCAACAATTTTGTCCGTGCGTAAACACGTTTGGTGACGTTTATGTTTGGCGTTGCGTGAGATTTTTTCTCGTGAAGTACGCGCCTCCGTTCCAACACCCCGATGGAGACGACACGGTATATATAGCGTCGAGTCGGTACCGTTTGTGTCCATGTAACAGGTGTTAGTGGAGTTGTTTAGGATTAAAGGTGGGGCTTATTCTTACCTAAGAGCCTAATGCTCATTAATTCCTGCTTTGGTGACTTAGCTCCCCCCTGATCCTCTGGGGACGGGCCGAGCCCGACCGGCCCCTGTTGCCGCAGACGCCGCCGCGGCCTCGATGGCGGGATGGCCCGCGCAGAGGCCGGCCAGGGTTTCGCCGCCTTCTGCATCTTCTCTGTCAAAAGTGGCAGTTTGGGTGGGGCGGAGTAGGAGGGCGGGGAGGGCGGGGTCTCCCAAGGCGCAAGAAATAAACGCAACTCGTTGGGCGACTGGAATAATTGCGCGCGTGTGCAAAACGTCAGCTCCAAGTGAAGGTAGCAGTGAAAAGAAACACTGTCTCCACGCGGCGTGGCTTTTATTGATTTGGACCACTAAAGTCTTTGTTGTGCGCGGCGACAGATGACGGCCCACTGTGTGACTGCAGCACTCAAATTTAATCTGCCATATAAATCCTCTTAATCTGCTCCACCGCCACGATAATTAGAGTGAGAGCCGCGCCGGGCTTGACCATTCCAGCGAGGCCGCGGAAACGTTTTCAAAGCTCAAGTGAGGCGCCCCAAGACGGTTTGCTTGTGCACCGTTTCATGACAAACGGAAACGGGTACGTCATGTTTGGAGGCCGATCAAATCACGTCCGATTCAACGGATGCGTATTCACGTTCAAATAACTCAAGACAATCGGCCTTCTCTGCGGTCACATTATCGCGAGTGCGGACGGACAGCGGCGGTGCGAAAGTGAACAACCGCTGCAGCCGACCCACCCTGGAGTTGGACACGCTCAAGGCCGCAAAGAGGATGATGGTGGACTTGGGGAAAGGAAGCTCCTTGCTTCGCCGCGGCCGGCCCTCGCACTCACCGTCGAGACCTTCGGGCTTCCGGGGCATCTCTGGGGGCACACCAAGTGGGAGGCCAACATGAAAAAGGGCCCCGCCCAGGCTGCCGAGGAAGCGCGGCCCGCCGCGGGAGCCGCCGAGACCGTCGGACGCGGCAATCGTCCAATCAGGGCGCCGGAGAAACCAAGACAAGGGCGCGGAAGATCCCCTGCACCCTGCCCACCACCTCTTCCCGATACTCCCCTCAGGCGAGCGCTACCCAAGCGGCAGCAGCAGACGTTCAAACGGCTTCTTCCCTCTCGCCGTCAACTCCCTCCACAATCTGGAGTGGCTCTTTGCAAATGTTGCACACCCCTGCGGCGCGATGATCATTGTCGCTCCGGCTCTCCACGTACTCCAACAATTGTCGGTGAGCAATATTCCGCGGCACCAGACACTTTCAAGCGCTCAAAGTTGGACTGCGATGACTGCTATCGATCGCTGAAAAAAAACGATCCGGTACGACGATTATCTGCACCGGCGGCACAAGCGTCGCTGGAATCGTATCGCGCCGCCGATGGCTTGATCTCCGCCGGACGACTCGGCACATTGTCGCTCGGCTGTCATTGGGCGCGACGACGGCACACCGGTACCCGCGCATGACGGAAAGTCTTTCCAAGACTCATCGCTCATGTCCTTGTTTATCGTACTTGCTTGTGATTGCAATACGAGGGCAGCCGATCCTTCTAAACGGCGCGACCAATCATACCGGCCGATAAGACTGGCCTGTAGACGACATCTATCGATCAGCTGCTCTTGTTCAGGCTCTCTGCGCGCAAAGTGCGAAAGCATGTTGGCACACGCCCGCTTCTTGTTGTGTCAACACGGGGGCTCATTGTAACGGAGCCCCCCCCC